CACCCGTAGCTCGATGCGGCTCCGGCGCAGTGGTGCCTCCCCCTGCGCGCTGGCGCATTGCCGGCTGCACCTCGAGGCCGGCTCCTGCTTCTGGCTCACCCCCAGCCGGCTGCTCTGGCGCCGCAGCCGACTGGCCGCCTTGGCCCGCTCCGGTTGGCGCTGCCGGCGGCGCCCTCTCCACGAAGATCACGGAGTCCTCCCTCCGCTCCATCACCGGCGGTTCTTGGTCGACCTCCTTCAGCGGAGGCACAAGAATGTTGGGGGCCACGACGCGGAGGGGAATGGCTAGCAGCGGAGGTTGGTTGTGCGAAGCCTCCGCCTCCGTCTCCACAGCTGCCACCTCCGCCCGGGCCTTGGCTGCTGCATCGGCCTGCTCCTTCGTCGCCTGGGCGGCCCTTTGCTCCGCCGCCTCCCGCTCCTCCCGCACCTCTCGTGCGTTCCGCTCCGTGGCCTCCCTGAGGTCGGCGCGGGGATCCACGCGGCGGGAGCCTGAAGACCCTCCAGTCGGCCCAACTACGGAGCCGCCCGGACCCCGCTCAAGGGAAAGCGGCGCCCTGTCCGGCGAGCAAAGAAAGGTTTAGAAGAGTTTTCAATCGAAAAGAAGAACAACAAAAAATATGTATCCAAGCATTCGACGACTTACGCTGAGATCGCCTACGGCTGCTTCACCGCCTTGCGGAAGCGGGCCGCCTTCGCGGCCGCCTCATCTCGCTTGGTCGCCGCTGTGGAAGCCTTGGACTTCTTTGGTCGGCTGCCGAAGAGGATCGACACGACCCGGCGCTTCTGGGCGCCGCCGCCAGCAGCCGGCGTGGCGGACGAGCTCGCGCCTTGATGATCAGGCGCCGGCTGGCGGCGCGGGGCGACTTCGACCTCGGCATCATCCGGCCAGTCCTCGAAGCCGACCGTGAGCCCCGCGCCTCCGACCTCGTCGCTTTCCCCCACGATGGCGTCTTCCATGGCGGCCGCTCCCAAGTCCGGGTCGTCAGCGTCGTCCACCGTGCGGTTAGGGACGAGATGGCGCTCTACCCCTGCGGCCCCAGTCGTCGGCGGAAGGAGAGGGTTCTGCTAGGGGCAAACCGACTGATCAGAGGCCGGCTACCAAAAAAACTTACGACGGGCGGAGGGTTGGCGCGAGAGTACGGCCCCTTGCCGTACCGCCAATCCTCGGCGAGCTTGCAGTTGGAGATATAGTTCACCATGTAGGAGACCTCCGCATGAGGCATCTCCCTGGTGCTCAGCCGGCTTGGGTCGAAGCGGCCGCTCATCTGACAAACCATGTGAGGCCAGCTTTGGAGGAGAAGAACCCGGCGCTCCACGAAGGCGGCCACCAAGTCGGCTCCGGTCAGGCCCTCCGACTGGATCATCACTCGAAGCCGGGAGACGGCTGCGTTCCCGGCCTGAGACAACGACCTGGCCTGGTAGCTCCACGAAGGTCGCCTCCCAGCCGGCGGGCCGGCTTCATAAGCCGGCAGGTTGACGTAGTCGCCTTGCTGCGTGACATTCTTCACGTAAAAGTATGACTTCTGCCAGAGCTTCACCGACTGGATCAGCGGGATGGGCGGGAACGGGTTGTTCTCGCCCGACCGCCTCATGGCAATATAGGCTCCGCAGGGGGCAGGCACGCCCGCGACGACGGTGCCGAGTTTGCTCTGGAAGAATTCCGCCCAGAGCTCGAGCGTGGGGAGGACCCCAAGGAAGCCTTCGCACAGCGTGACGAAGGCCGACAGTAGCATCACCGCGTTGGGCGTGAGGTGATGCGGCTGGAGGTTGTAGAATTCGAGGAAGGCTCGGAGGAACCCGCTCACCGGAAGGCTGAAGCCGCGCAGGCAGTGCGAGCGGAAGATCACCCGCTCGCCCTCCTCCGGTGCCGGCGAAATCTCCTTCTCCGGCGCTAGACGAACCCGAACGTAGTTCTCGCCGGGCAGGCGTCGCATCTGGCGGAGGAACTCGACGTGGTCCTCATGGACGTTGGAGCCATCCCACGAGCTTGACAGCGCCATGGGGCAGCGCGGCGAGAAGCAAGACGATGCGGCGGTGGAACGAAGCGACGGCGGAACGACGCGACAAAGAGCTGCTACGGGTAAGAGAAGAAGAAGGAGGGCGAGAAGGGGCGGAGTGAGGGAGAGCGCGCGAGCCTCTGCCGCTCCCCCTCCTCCTCCTACTTATAGACCGCACGGCGGAGCCGAGGAGGCGCGGCGTGGGGGAACGTGGGGATCAACTGCGCCCACTCCCCCACGTCCCGCGATTATTGTGCCTTGATGGTAGAATAAAACCGCCGCGGGAAGGCGAGCGGTCCATGTGGGCCGCGGAAGATCCGTGCTCGGACCGAGGCCTATGAGTGGCGGGCCCGGGCCTGCGGCGGCGTCCCGTCGCGCACGTGCGTTGGCAGGATTTCCTCGCCACATGGCCCGCGTTCCCGCCTACGAGAAACGGAGCTTTTCCAAAGACGGCGCGCACAAGCAAAGCCGACCCCTCAGGATAGGAAGCTGACCAAGCTTCTCGTCCCTTTATCAGCCTCGAAGCTCGCTCAGCTTCGGGGACTACTGTCGGAGTAAGTGACCACGGGTAGCCTAGCCGGCTCCCCCTGGCCTTTCTGAAAAAATTACGAGCCGATCCGGCTCTCAAGAATCCAAGACATGGGGCCGCCTTCCCCTAGCCGGCTGTCTCCCAGGCCGGCTATTGGAAGGCGGCCCGACTTCAGCCCTCATGAAGAAAGCCACGGGAGGGCCGACTCCGAGGAGCCGGCTGCGAGAAGGCCGACTCCAAGGAGCCGGCTCCCATAAAGCGGTCAAGACCGTACCCTCGAAGTCTGCATCCACATAACGGCGATGTGACGGGGCGTGGCTACAGTGAAGCCTGCCACCCCTGAATCCCGGAGCGCGCCTGGCACGGTGCGCCGTACGGATGGCCATGACCCGTCCGACGCGGCACTGTTGCCACGTTGACCCTGATGTCATCCACGACGGGCTACCAGTACGGCCCACGGGCGGTGGGCCCCTTCGGGCAGAGAGACACCCGAAGGCGGCCTGGCCTCCCCCAGTCGGCCTAAGACAGAGCTGGCTCTCTCCAGCCGGCTTGCCACCCCCTCGAAGGAGACGCCCCATTAAGAAGACAAGACGCGGTGAGGCTACAGTGGTCACCCGGCGGACGGCAGCACTGTAGCCACGCTTACCTCGGCGAAGCCCTCGTCACCAAGATTGAGCAACAGTAACCAGCCACCGACAAGGCCCTAGACAGTGGGGCCTGCCTGTCGATCAAGGAGCCGGTAGCCGGCGGGCCCCAGTAGCCGGCGTAGAAGCCGGAGAGCGAAGACACAGACGACTGGGCCCCATGCCCAGCCGGGTTACCATTGTACCCCTGGGGGGTAGGCCTATATAAACCCCCCAGGACACCCATGCAAAGGATGGATCCCTGCTAGTTTTAGACACCACGTAGGGAGGAGAAGAGAGCAAGCAGAGCCCTTCTTCCTCCTCTCGCCAAACAGCTCAAGGAGCATCGTGTAGCTACTTGTTCATCTAGTGATCATGCGGAGACCCCGCGGAGCAGCAGTAGGGGTGTTATCTCCACGGAGAGCCCCGAAGCTGGGTAAGATTCGCCGGCGTGCATGTCTTCGCCTCATCCCGTTTCCAGGCACCGGCGATGTTTTACTGGCTCCCACAATGATAAGCCACCCGTTGGCATATGTCGCACCTACCACCCGACAATGTGTGCCTCTGGGATCTGGTGGGGGATTGCTGGAATTTAGTCCATTTTGGGCAACCCAATAACTATTTCAGAAATTCCTAATAAATCCTAGAGGCCCACTTAGCCCATTTGTGCAAGGCAAGGAATACTACTAAAGTTTAGTCCCACATTGCTAGTTTAGTGGGAGTTGGACCTCCTTATAGGGGAGGTTCTTTCCCCACTTGTACGAGCATGAGAACAAGAGGGATATCCACGCGCGCTCCTCCTCCGCCGCCCGCCTCACCACGCCACGCCACGCCACGCCACGCCATGTCTCGTCACGACGCGCCGCGGGTTGCGGGAATGAGCCGAGCCGATGTCTAAATTTTTGCCATGCACTACGGGTATACGAAAGGTCACTCTGGAGCTGGAAAGTTTTTGCTGTAGTGGATATTGAATACGAACGCTGCACCCTTCGGCCGTTGTCTGTTTGTTTCATCTCCCGCGTTCCCTTCAGCTCCCGGTGCAGCCTCTCGCCTCCTTCTCTTGTGCCTATAAAAGGGAGGTCGCTCCTCTCAGAGAGAGGCACCAGAACTTCTCCTTCCTCTCGCCACCGGTTCCAATCTCTGAGCTACTGCTGTCTTCCTCATCCCGGCTTGCGGCATGCACCGCAGGTCGGGACAGTAGGCCTCCGAAACCGCACCTCTTTGAGTCCTGTACGGGAGAAGGGTGATAAGATTTTTGAGGAGCGCTCTGCGCGACTACTGACTGACTCCTTCGTCACGGACGCCCCGGACTCCGACGGCTACTTCCCCGACGACGACTTCTTCCCCAACGTCGACAACCTCCTCGACGACATGGCTGGCGAGGACACCGACCCTAAGTCCAGTGCTACTGCTGCTGCTGTCCCGTATGTGTTCTTCTTTCTGTTAGATATCCTGCCACAGTTTCTCATACTAGTACTTGCCCTAAATATGTTAGGTTCTACCTCATATATGCAACTAGTTCTACTGTCTGCTATAGATATGATAAGCTACGGTTCATATATGCAGAAGCTATTTTCCTTCTCTCCGTCAGAACGCATGACTTATTTTATCTCTACTATATTAGTCATGCTTTATCTAGTATTTCTGTTAATAAAATCATTCGGTAAATTGCTCATATTTCCAACATGCACTGCAGGTTACAACACGTGGGAGTTACTCCATGCCAACTGCAGCCACCCATGATTCATCCACCTGTTCATGGGCGGCCGCATATCGAAGCACAGCATGATAAGTTACATCGCACAAGGGGATCGGCTTATTTGATATACACTGCCGAAGCCCGTTTACATTTTACAAGAACCTCTCCAAGAGTTTGAAGTCCAGCACAAGCTCCTTCAGCCCAACCATTTTGCTGTACTGCAAGGTGATCCAGCCAACGAAAGATATATATGCAACAAGAAGGCACGCCCGCTTGAAACGGTAAGCAAACACCCTGATGCTATGGTTGCTCACAGCCCGCCTGGCGGCAGCAAGGAACACTCCTCGGAGGATTCTTACTGCTACGGTGATGAGTATAGAGCTCAGCATGCCCGCCACAACCCCTGCTGCCGCATATCCAAGCATCCACCACGAACTGAAATCTTTTGACTTGCAGAACTTTGAAAACCTGTCAGATTTCAGTCTCAAGTTAAACAGAAGGAAATGTTGATATATTTAAGATAAATGACCATTATAAGAAGTGAAGGAAAAAAAGTGACCCTTTTACCAACCAAAAGGTTGTTAAGTTCCTAGTGTTTACAGCTTGACATAAAGTGGTGATGCAACAATACAACCCAAGCATAAGAAACAAAGCCAATTGATAAGCATAAAGCACTAGAGCTAGTCAGATTACCAGAGCAAATAAGAGCAATGAGTGGTTTTGGCTATCGACTTCTGGTGAAGGATATGTGGATTAACATGATGTTATCACATTATGAGAAGTTAAGGCGATGCCCATGCAGCAGGTAGAAAATTAGAGGGCATATATACTCACAGTACAAAAATCCTTTTCAGCATTTCAATTATTGAAGGATCCTCAGCAGTGCAATTGAATAGCTTGTCTGAATAAATGTCAGCTTTGGTGCTCCCCAGTGTGTACCTGCACTTGTATGATTCATTGACCTACAAGAGAAGACGATAATAAAATGATGACCTCTTGATAACTAAACATGATATACGCAAAGGGCATGCAAACAACTGAAGATTCAAAAAACCACTGGAGAGAACATTATGTATTTCTCATGTGAACTAGATGTTCCATAGTAGTGTACCTTGAGCTTTGCTGCTGTTGACCATACAGCACCAAAATCAGGCCGGCAATTGTGAGGAAGAGCCTCTTTTGGAGCTTCTGCCATTGCATAAGATGTTTGACCAGAAAAATATTTTGTGTATTCAACCTAGAGTATCCATCCACAACACAAGTGAGAAAAACTAATTAACTAAACACATATAGTAATACTTGTGAATACTGATACTAGTAAACCGAAAGACTGCGGGCAGGCTGTGCAGTGTGCAGTGCACGACCACAAGCTAATGTTCGAAATGTAAATATGGCGTGTCTTTATTTACAGGACTTTATGAACAAACTAGAAACTACAGCTAGAATTGTTCATCATTTATTGCCTTATTTGGGAGTTGAGAGCACATAGAAAGCATCAAAGATCTGTATATATCATTATCAGTAAAAGCATTAAACAGCCCAAATCTAGAGGAGCTGAATGTGAGAATACCTAATCTGTACTATTAAAGGGGAGTTTGCCGTCGTAATGGTTACTCATCCTTCCCTCCCCGTCCAGTGCAGAAAAAACAAAAAGAAGAAAAGAACGGGGAAAAAACCCGGGAAAAGGGTGACAACCACCAATCCGTCAGCCATGCACCCACACATCCCATGCGGGCACGCCCCATCTCTCCCCCCTTGCCCCCACTTCCATCTCTCCACTGAGAAAAATCGCCTCCCAGCCCCGCCCCCACGGCCCACATTCTCTGCCACGACGAGCCGTCCGCACCTTGTCTCGTCGCTGCCTCCTGCCTCCCCTTGATGCCTCGGTTGGGGTCACCGGTGTGGGAGTAGCCGCCCCTATCAGAGAACACGACGGCGAACCTGCCAACGGAGACGCTGTCCTAGCACGGCATGCCGTCCTAGCCATCAGCGTTACCGGCACCGACAGCAAGCCCTCTGCAAGGGTCCCACACGGGAGCGATAGGAGAGGTGGCAGTACCGTTGAGTTTGTAACCGTCATGCACGTCGAGGCAAAGGCGAGACTGGCGTAGGCTGCGGCACACATGGTGATGCCATCGCAGATCCACAAGATCAGATGAATGCACTTGTAAGGCTCTTCTGTAATCCTGTCTTCTTTTCAAGGACCCCAGCTTGCTCAATAAGGTGCTGATTGATCATCTGAGTAACTCTAGATGTTTGCTCATTTGCTTCTGTTACCTATGGTAGGTTCTGCCCATCAATTTTTCTACCGTGCTGAGAAGTACATTTTTGATGCCCGGCTTACAACAAAGAGTATCAGCCTCCTGAGTCTCTTAGGCACTAACGTAAGCCTACGATGCCCACATTTGTTGCTATGTTGAGTTAGCTTTGAGCAGTATTTTGCAGTCAAAACAAGTACTTGTCCGACCTATCAGGTGATCCTTTGATTTGTTGAGTTAACACCTGCTGTTTTCTTTCTTTATTAGCTACCTAAAACGATGGTCTGCTGCTGACAAGTCATTTTCTTATGAGGTATGTGGGAATTGAACATGTTTATGATCTTCTTTGTATGTTATGATAAATTTGGAAGGTTTTAAGCAACTTCAGCAAGTGAAATTAACTTGGAATAGAAATGAAATACTGCATTTTAGTATCATGATCTTCTTATGTAATTTTGTTTTGCACACACATGGCCTTTCTCCTCCTAAATTCTGGATACCTATATCCCCACCCATTAATTAATTAAACACATACAGTAATCCTTGTGAATACTAATGTAAACTGAAATACGTGCACGATCGCAAGCTGATGTTCGAAATGTAAATATGTCATGTCTTTTTTTATACGTTCTTTATCAACAAACTAGAAACTACAGCTAGAATTGTTCATCATTTATTGCCTTATGTGGGAGTTGATAGCACGTACAAAGCATGAAAGGTCTGCAGATATCATTATCAGTTAGAAGCATTAGACAGCCCAAATCTAGAGGAGCTGAATGTGAGAATAGCGAAAAAGTAGTTAATACATGATGTATAAAATGTCACTGTGCTGGTACAAAAAGATAAAGCAAGTGAAACAACCAACCAGCAGCTTTAACAACATTTTGAGCTGCTCCACTAAGAGAAACAAACACCAAAGTAGAATCACAATATAAATTCTCACCTCAAAAACTGAAGCCCAGTAATAGTCATCATGGCAGCGGAATCTTCGATTACTCGAGGGGTAAAATACATGCTTAGCTTTATAGTTTCAACAGTCCAAGCTCGCAAACCTTAGATGACCGAATGTCCAGGCCTACAATGCGCCAGCAACCGCATCAAGCTAAAGATCAACGCAGCTCGGTCCAAACCGAAAGGGAAAACTAATCACATCCTAAGCTCACTAGCTGAGCCACAGTGTAATCAGCATCCAACACACACCCCAAGTGATAGCGCATTAGCGCATCGAAATCCACACAGTGACACACCAAGTGGGGAATACGTAAGCAGCTCTTAGACTTCGTGGAGCAGATGGTAAAGTGCATAAATGGAATATACATCACAAAATTTGCAGTAAGCTCTAAACGCTAAACACCAAAACAGCTAACTTGAGCACCCGGTTAGATTCCTAAGCTCGGGAAACAGCATGGGGGTAAATCGGGAGGGAAGAGACGGAAGGGAAGGTACAGTGGCCGACCGGTAGAGAGGATGCGGCAGGTGGAGGGCATGGAGACGGACGCGTTGGAGGAGAGCCCGCCGAGGAGGAGGCCAGCGATGCCGAAGAGAAAGGAGAAGAGGAATGACACGGCGATGGGGAAGAGCATCACGAGGGCCCCGCGGACTGTGATCCCGCACCACCGCCTGCGCTGCTCCGCTGGGTCCGCCCCTCTGCCCGGGGCGGCCCGTGGTGGCGCAGGTCCTGCCGCCGACGGATCCATCAAGTGGATGCGCGACCCATCACCGGTAGGCCGGCAAGCGGCGGTCGCCGGACGCCGGCGGTGGGGAGAGGTGAAGGTGGCATTGGGGGTGAACGATGGTTGGAGCTGGGCATAACGACCGTACTTTTCTTGGGGTTCGGTGGTTGTCACTGGGACGATCGATCGAAGGCTGTTTGGGCCGTATGTGCAGGCCTGTCAAGCTTAGTCAACGAATGTTGTTCTATGGACTGGTTTTCATTTCGCCTTTACCAAGAAAAAAAACACCAAAAAAAAAACACCCCCGATCTCTACCCTTCGCGCCTCTCGCTCCACATGGCCAGAAGAGATGGGTTATCTTAAGAGTGTCATGTAAAATATCTTATGAGGTGGAGAAAGAGAGATCAGAAGAAAAGATTTGTCTTCTCTTAAATAGGAAATGATTTCTTAGCAACATTGCAACAATGTCTCATCCCATTTATTTCCTTTAAAACGGGGGTAAAAGATTGGCCTCGTCAATTAATTAAGCAAAAGAGAATTGCCCAGTTAACTCACCACATTTTTACTAATTATTAGAGATAAGATTATGAGATAATCATTGTACTCCTACATCATATTTTTATTTACTACTCTAGATTATGTGTTAGGTTTAAAATAAGATAATCTTATCAACCAATATACATGCCTTTAAGATATGAGGTAGGGGCAATTATTGGTTTTTTGCATGTGATATGGGCTTGTATTAATTAAGAAATAATGTTACACTCGTTTTCACAGATTTTACATAAACCATCTGGCATAGCAGCTAACCAGAGTGCCGTGTGTTGGGAGCAACGTCCCAGCTGAGCATGCAGTGTGCAACGCCATGCGCTCATCTTCAAGCGTGGACAAAGCAATGTCGTTGGATCCCATGCAGGAGACTCTTCGTATTCTCCATCATACCAGCCAACGAAGATCTGTTGATACTCCTACCTGAGAGAGCATCAACTCCTTCCTTGCAATCTAGTTCATTGATCAACGACATGTTCGTTTGCTTCAGCGTCAGGGACGTATCCTCGAGACACGCTGAATTTACGCCTCCATTGGGGATCTGCATGAGCGAACAAAATGACACACTGAGAAAATGATGGCTCCTGTGTCGTTCCTTAACACCATGCCTGCTCCTCCAATGCTTTCGTCGCAACGTGGCCGTCCACATTTAACATAGACCATCCCGACGAAGGTTTGTTCCAGGGGTAGCAGGATGTTGTTGAAGAGCTCGTGTTTGCTTGCTCACCTGCAGCATACTGTATAGGGGCAATGATTAGTTTAATGCCAAAATTTGGCACGATCATATTTTGCGAGGCCAAAGAATAAACTATTGATTGGTTGAATGATGACCAAAAGTGTGCTTAGTATATCGTCTATCCCTTGGAGGGACATGAATAGTCTGTTTTTGGATGATTGCTACACATTGGTTCAAAGCACGAGATGAACGAGAGCAATTGAAATCTCAACTTATTTTCTCTGAAACTTGTTGACTCATCCTAGGATTGCTCCACTTACCTCGCCCTATAAATGTTTTGCTCACTCCCCCGGCCCCTCCCACAAGTGAAACTGGCCCTTTCACCATAGTTTCCCCCCTTGTCCCTCTCGCCTCTCCTCAGATGAACATATCGACGATGATGGTTGAACCACAGGGGACGGTTGCTAAACTCATCTTCCACTCGCATCCAGCCACGTCATAAATCACCCTCTCCTTCCCTCATCTCCTCCAGAGCTACAATTTCTTTCAAGCTACCATGTATGTGATTGATCCGAATAGAGAGCCCCCAACCATGGCCTATGTGCAAGGAGACCTTGAATGTGGCGGCAACAGCCGGCGAGGGCTCATTGGTGTCAGGGCCCAATGTGTGCTCTTCCTCGAACGGGGCACACCACCAGTGGATTCGACGGTGACCTTCGCCGGTCCATTCGACATGCCGCAATCGGTTTGATTGAGGGCATGTCATTAGGGTATTAGCAATGGAGGTTGCTACGACAAAAGAGTTTCCCACTTATCTCTCAGGTGATTCACACTTAGCAAGCCTACTACTTCACTTTGCAATGAATTGGGTAAGAGGTTGTAGTTTCCTTTCCAGTTTTAGTTTCCTTTACATTTTTAGTGCCAATGGATTAATTCTTGCCTTCTTGGTCATGTTCTAGGTTCGTTACTTTCTTTTATTGATGCATAGGAAAGAGGGTGTGGTTATTGAGTTGTCATGATCCTGGAACACCTTCGAAAG